GGTGGAAAGGTAAGAAAGAACACACACCTAATTGTCATCACTGCTAATGCTGAAGGGAGGGCTGAGGGGAGGGGTCTTCGCTTTTTCTTTGTGTGCCTCTCAACGGTTTAACTTCCCATCCCAAACATGGTATATTTGCTCTTGTGATTTAAACAATATTCCAAGAGGTAAGAAAATTCCCACATATAAAAAGGATGAAACCATGCAAATGGAATCTGATCCCCTTCCATCCTATCGCCCTGATCCTAGTAAAAAGAATGAAGAAAACAGGCTCATTAAGCTCCCTTGGCCACACAACAATCAACTTTACCTGCTGATTTCTACTGCTTGATTGGGAATGCCATACCCAGCTGTTTCCGGGTCTGAGCACAGACTCCTAGAACATCAGAAAGTTGTGTTTTTGTTTTTGTTTTTTTGAGACAGAGTCTCATTCTGTCACCCAGGCTGGAATGTAGTAACACAATCTAGGCTCACTGCAGCCTTTACTTCCTGGGTTCAAGCAATTCTCCTGCCTCAGCCTCCCGAGTAGCTGAGACTACAGGTTTGAACCACCATGCCCAGCTAAGTTTTGTACTTTTAGTAGAGGCAGGGTTTCACCACATTGGCCAGACTGGTCTCGAAATTCAGTACACTACCCTATAAACAGAGGTGCTGTTATCCAGGCTTTGTTGTATAAAAGTGTCTTCCATTTCTAGAGCACAGGCAGAGTGATTTAGGATCATTAAGGGCCCTAGGATTTTTGGAATAGTGAGTGAGCACTAGCTTCAACTTAAAGTCACCAGCTACATTAGCCCCTAACAAGAGGGTCAGCCTGTCATTTGAAGCCAGGCATTGACTTCTCTCTAACTGTGAAAGTCCTAGATGGCATCTTCTTCCAACAGAAGGCTGTTGTTTCATCTGCACTAAAAAGCTATTGTTTAGTGAAGTCATCTTCATCAATGATCTTAGATCTTCCGTTGAACTTACTGCTACTTCTTCATCACACTTGCTGCTTCCCCTTGGACTTTCACAGATTGCAAGGTGAAAACTGGTTATGGAGACTGTGTCCTTCCTTAAAACTGAACCAACGTTTAACAGCTTCCAACTTTTCTTCAGCAGCTCCCTCACCTCTCTCAGCCTTCGGAGAATTGAAGACAGTTAGGGCTTTGCTTTGGATTAGGTTTTGATTTAAGGGAATGTTGTGGTTGGTTTGATCTTCTATCCAGACCACTGAAACTTTCTCCATATCAGCAATAAGGCTGTTCCCTTTCTTATCATTCCTGTGTTCACTGGAATAGCACCTTTTAAATTACTTATTTACATTTGTATTTTGTTTGTTTTGGGTTGTTGTTTTTTTTTTTTAAGTAGAGATGGCCTTTCACCATGTTGGCCAGGGTGGTCTCAAACTCCTGACCTCAAGTGATCCACCCACCTTGGCCTCCCAAAATGCTGAGATTACAGGCATAAGCCACCATACCTGTTGTTTTTTTTTTTTTTTTTTTTTTTTTTTTTT